ATGCAACTCTTTTCTTTAGCAATTTATTGGTGGTTTCAATGAATTTGAGCTTACCATATTCATCTTACTAATAAAGATATTATACCAAACAATTGCAACATGAAGCCCGTTAACCAATGAACACACTGTCATGCATTAAGTCCATACTCAAATTTGAAAAATAGTTGAATTTTCATGATAACCCTTCTTAAAAGAGATCCACCACCAAAAAGAAGTCCAAAGGCTGAAGATAACAGGTGTATATATATTTATAACATTACCCTGATTGATCATTGATCCTATCAAAACGAATTCCCCCAGGATATTGGAAAAGATAGTGAGCCTCTGATGACACATTTACAATTCGCCCTTCTCTTTTACTTTCACATGCTGTTTTCTTCATTCTATCCAACAAGAGGTTTGTCAAAAGAAAATGACCTGCAAAGCATTAAGAATTCAATCCACCTTTAACTTACGATATGCAGTCTATGGACACCAGAAACAGTAGAACAAAATCTATCACTTTTAATAAATGTATCAAATTCTGAGTGCCATGAAAATAACAAGTAGCGTAGTCGTGCACTAGCAACTTGGAAATTTTAGACAGTCTAAATGAGATGACAACAGCCATCAATTTTAATTAATAAGAGGATAAACTGTTTTCCCTGAATAAGGAGCTCTTAATAACGCCAGATTACTACTTTTCCATTTTTAATTCATTGCTGATGCTCTGAACTTTTGAACAAAAAATTGCATGAAGGAATAAATAAGAAGTTTCAGTCTTTCAGGCCACTTCATACCGACATTGCTCAGAATATCGATCAACAAGAGATATCCTAAAAAAAATGTGCTCCATACCAAGGTGATTTGTTGCAAAATGTAGTTCTATGTTGTCTTTGGAAAGCTTGAAAGGAGTGCCCGAAATTCCTGCATTGTTACTGGCAAGTGGCAACAAAGAGGAAAAAAATCACTTCCTTCAGTAATTGTTTGAACCTTTAAGCCTTTGAAATATCTTATGATGCACAATTATCTTTTAGGCATAAAAGGGTGATCAGACAGCAGAGTGGACAATTAGTATAATACAACAAAAAGTAATCAATTTAATAATGTGGGGAAACATGAGCATGATAATAAACACATCTCTAGCCTAGAGACAACAAGTTGAAAAGGTTCCATTTCTTACATCAGGAGGTTCAATGGACGACCCGAGGAATTGTATTCTGATGCAAATTTCCTTACTGATTCAAATGAGCTGAGGTCCAACTCCATGACATCAACTTTGGCAGAGGGAATTTCCTTAACAATTGCATCTTTTACATCGCTACCAGCAGACATATTCCTGACCCCCATGATTACATGGACACCGCGCATTGCAAGAACGCGAGCAGTTTCCGCACCAATGCCACTAGATGCTCCTGCAATCAGAGAAGGACGAAAGAGCAAATATCCATCCAAGTTAGCAAAAAGAGGAAGGAAAGTCTTGATGGAAAATGTCCAAGAACGCATCTAGTTCCAGCCCATGATTCATATCAGATCCTGTTGAAGATTGAGAGAGTTAAGGGCGAAGGGGAAGAGAGGGAAGGAGTGGTCTCTTCTCTCTCTTGTTTGGATAAAATCATTACGGCTGGAGGAATGAGGGCAGGTGATTGGAAGGAGAGGTGGGTGGAAGTGACGGTCGGTGATTTTGCTTAAATA